ACCCGAAATCACAATGGGCACAGTTGGTGCCTGAACTGGTGCTGCTGGAGCGTCCATAACTAGGACCTGATCCTGAACTGGGGCAGCTGGTGGATCTGCTGGTGCTGCCCTAACTGCTCTGCCCCTACTACGACCACGACCACATCCTCGGCCTCTGGTGGCCATAGCTGGTGGTACTGGTGGTCATCCATCCTGACCGGTAGCGCATGTCCTCACCATATATGAGAGAATAGAATAACAAAAGTTTAGTACACGCATAAAAAAATTCGCATGACAAGAATTCCAAGAACATGAAGTTTTTCCTAAAGGTTCTGCGGCTTCTCAAGGATAAATACAGACGTTTCCGTACCGATCCACGAGACTCTACTAAACCTGCTCATGACTCGTGAAACCTATGTAACCTAGGCTCTAATACCAACTTGTCATGATCCAAAACCCGGACCCGATCGTGATGGCGCCTCTCGTGAAGACAAGGCCATCCGACACTTCCCATTTTCAATTATTAACAGTTAAACCATAAGAAATAAATCTAAAACATGATAAGATATTCCAAAGCTAACAGGTAATAACATAATTCGCGAAAAATAATCCAACACAGCCCGATGCCGGGGTGTCACTAGTCATGAGCATCTAACCAAAATGGAATACTCCAATATATATAACTACAGAGTTTGATACAAAAACTGAGAATATGTAGAAATAATATAGGGAAGAGCTCCGAGCTGTGAACGCCAACAACTACCTAGAGACTCCTCGGATCCGCTTGAGCCGGAAATGATCAACACTCGGGAGCGGGACCAGATACGCCTGAATATGCATACAGGGTGCAGGGAGTAAAGTGATTACTCCAACTCAGTGAGTAATAATCATAAATAAAGACTGAAAGCAGGAAATCACGTAAGGCACAACAGTATGCTATAATGAAGCAGTAAAAACCCTTTTAAAGCAGTAAACCAATGAAAGATAGGTAAAAATCCTTTTACTCAAATTTAACTTCCTAAAAAGCCTTTTTCAACAATTAAGCAGGTAATTGACAGTCAATTATGAAAAATAAACACATAAAGGTTCGCCCCTTGGGCATAGTATCAACAAATCTGCCCCTCGGGTAACATCTCAGAACAGTACCATCCCTTCGTGCAATATCTCAGAACAATACCAGCCCATCGGGCTTAATCTCACATCACAATGGGCGCCCGTGCTCATTGGGGGTATACAGACTCCTAGAGGGGCCCCTTACGACCCAAGTGCAATATCAAACCACCTCGTGGCATCATCACTAGGCCGTTGACCTTATATCAATCAAGCCACCTCGTGGCGTACATATCTCAGGCCCTCGGTCTCATAATCAGTATCAAATGATTCCTCACAACATAGGCCCTCGGCCTTACTCAGTGAAAATTCGCACAAGCCACTCGGGTAATAGTAAAACATGATTCTCAGCCCAAAAATATCATTTAAAAGATCGTGTAAGTGTTAAAACAGAGTAAACATGCCTGAGTACGAAAAACAGTGAAATATAACATGACTGAGTTCAAGTATAAAGTCAAAACAGTGAGGAAATACTAGTAAAAATCCCCAAAGGGTTCAAATAGTTGGCACAAGGCCCAAATATGGCATTTAACCCAAATCATGATGATAGCAATTAGATTTTAGTCAAATACGCGGTAAAATAGTCATTCGGGACGGACTAAGTCACAATCCCCAATAGTGCATGACCCCACGCTCGTCATCAAGCGTGTGCGTCACCTCAATATAGCACAAAGATGTGCAAGTATGGGGTTTCATACCCTCAGAACATCATTTACAATCATTACTCATCTCGAACCGGTCAAATCTCTAGCTCGCAATGCCTTTGCCCCTCGAATCGGCCTCCACTCGCGTCAAATCTATCCAAAATCAGAACGAGGACGTCAGAATATGCTAAGGGAACGAAGCCCAAGTGAAAATAATCAAAATACGACACAAATCCCGAAATTACCAAGACTCGACCCCCGGGCCCACATCTCGGAATTCGATAATTTTTACATCAACGGAATCCTTATCCTCCCACGAGTTCATACATATCAAAAGTTCTGAAATCCGATCTCAAATGGTCCTTCAAATCCTCAAGCAAATGTCTAAGTTTCCAAGCCCTAGTTTTCCCAATTTTAACCCTTAAATTCCATTAATCATAGCTCTAATCCGTGAAATAATAGCATAGGGACGAGTCTTAGGTCCAAATTCCTTACCTCAATAAAGTCCCCTTGAAATCCCTCTTCAAAATCGTCCAAAAAGCTCCCAAGCTGAATTAGAAATGGTGAAAATAGCTCAAAATCGCGAAGGACACAATTTATACCTTCTGCCCAGGCATTTTCGCATTTGCGGCCCTATTTACCGCTTCTACAGTACCGCATTTGCGGTCCTCGAACCGCTTCTGCGGAAATCACTTAAGTCCCCAGGTTTCGCATTTGCGATGAACTATACCGCACCTGTGCCTTCGCAGATGCGGTCCCTTAACCGCTTCTATGACTCCTCTTCCACCTATGCGTCGTTGCACCTTCGGTCCCCAATCTGCAGGTGTGGAAATACCAGAAGCAACAAAAAAATTTGCATTTGCAACAATTTCTCAAACTCCCCGTCAACCATCTAAAATCACCCCGAGGACCCCGGGACCTTAACCAAAAGCACCAACATATCCTAAAACCTTATTCAAACTTATTCTAATCTTCAAAACACCTCAAACACCATCAAATCAACCAAAACACATTGGATTCAAGTCTAACTTTCCAAAATCTTCCGAATTACGCTTTTGATCAAAAACCCAACCAAACCACATGACCTGAAATTTTGTACACACATCCAAAATGGCACAACGAAACTATTGCAACTTTCGGAATTCCATTCCGACCCCTATATCAAAATCTTGCCTACCAACAGGAAATCACCAAAATATCAACTTGGCCAATTCAAGCCTAAATCTACTCCGAACCTCCAAAACTCATTTCGATCACCCTCCTAAGTCCCAAATCACCTCCCGAAGCTATCCGAACTATCGGAACTCACATCCGAGCCCTCTAACACATAAGTCAATATCCAGTTGACCTTTCCAACTTAAACTTCCTCAAAAGAGACTAAGTGTCTCAAACCTTACCAAAAATCATTCCAGATTCGATCCGACCAACCTGATACCACATAACACAGATAAAGAAAGCATAAAGAAGCAGGAATGGGGGAAATAGAGTGGTAACTCATGAGACGACTGGCCGGGTCGTCACAATTTACATCATCGGTGAAAGTAGTGAGAGTAATGGACATCCATATTTACTAAAGATTTTATAACACTCCCCCTTGGATGTCCAAAAAATAGATCATATTCCTTGTTAAAACCTTACTAAGAAAAAACTCTGTGGGAAAAAAGTTTCAGTGAAGGAAAAAGAGTACACATATCTGTAATACACTTATTTGCTGCCTCGTTAAAAACCTTACCAGGAAAAATCCAGTGGGACAAAACCTAGGCTAAGGGAAAAAGAGTACAGCGTGTATCTTACTCCCCTTCATGAAAACATCACTTTATTTCTCGAAGATGCCACATTCCAATCTTCTGTATCAACTTCTCAAATGTTGAGGTTGGTAAAGCCTTAGTGAACATATCAGCTAAATTTTCACATGAACGAATTTGTTGAACATTAATTTCAAAATTTTGTTGTAGATCATGCATGAAAAAGAAGTTTGGTGAAATGTGCTTTGTTCTGTCTCCTTTGATGTATCCTCATTTCAATTGAGCAATACAAACAACATTGTCTTCATAGTGTAGTTGGATTATCTTTTGTCATAAGAAAACCACACATTTCCTGAATATGCTGAGTCATTGATCTCAACCAAACACATTCCCAACTATCTTCATGAATGACTATTATCTCAACATGATTTGAAAATATGGCAGCTATTGTTTGTTTCATTGAACGCCATGATATAACTGTACCTCCATATGTAAACAAATAACCTGTTTGAGATCGGCCTTTATGTGGATCAGACAAATAACCTGCATCGGCATAGCCAATCATTTCTGACTTGAATTCATTAGAATAAAACAATCCCATATCTATAGTTCCCCGAAGATATCTAAATATATGCTTAACACCATTCCAATGTCTTCTTGTTGGGGAGGAGATGAATCTTGCTAATAAGCTTACTACAAAAACAATATCTGGTGGGGTATTGTTGGCAAGATACATCAGTGCTCCAATTACACTAAGATATGGAGTTTCATCACCAACGAGCTCTTCATCATTTTCTTGAGGCCAAAATAGATCTTTATTTATGTCAAGCGATCTCACAACTATTGGGGTACACAATGGATGTGCATTATCCATGTAAAATCGCTTTAAAACTTTTTCAGTGTATGTTGATTGATGGACAAAAATTCCATTTGGTACATGCTCAATTTGTAGGCCAAGACAAAATTTTGTCTTACCAAGATCTTTCATTTCAAATTCTTTCTTCAAACATTCTATAGCCTTTGAAAGCTCTTTAGAAGTGCCAATGATATTCAAGTAATCAACATACACAACTCTGATGACAAATTTAGATCCAGACCTCTTAATAAAGACACAAGGGCAAATAGGGTCATTTTTGTACCCTGTCTTTAGCAAATACTCACTAAGGCAATTGTACCACATCCTCCCTAATTGCTTCAATTCGTATAAGGATTTCTGAAGCTTTATTGAACAAGTTTCTCTTGAACTTTTATGTGCTTCAGTAACTTTAAATCCTTCAGGGATTTTCATAAAAAATTTATTGGCCAGTGAGCCATATAAGTAGGCTATGACAACATCCATCAACCCCATATCAAGCTTTTCATGGACTGCCATATTTATTAGATACCTAAAGGTAATTGCATCTACCACATGAGAATATGTCTCTATATAATCAATGCTAGGCCTCTATTAAAACCCTTGTGCCACAAGTCGTGCTTTATATCTTACGACTTCACCTTTCTCATTTCATTTTCGCACAAAAACTTATTTGTATCCCACTGGCTTGACACCTTCAGGCGTTCGGACTATTGGCCTGAAAACTTCATGTTTTTCTAGTGAAACCATTTCCGCTTGAACTGTGTTTTTCCATTTTGGCCAATCATTTCTCTGTCTACATTCATCGACAAATTTTGGCTCAAGATACTCATCTTGTTGCATTACTTCAACTGTAACGTTATATGCAAAATTATTGTCAACAACAATATTATTCCGGTTTCATCTTTTTCCTGTAGAGACATAACTTATTGAGATATCTTCATTTTCATCATTTCCAGGTACTAGAACCTCCTATGAGGTCTTATCAATTATTATGACTTTATGCTCCTCTTGAGCAATTGCCTCCATGTTATGATCAATTTGATCATTTGCTCCTTTCCCTTTTCGGGAATTCTTATCCTTGGAACCTATTAGTCTACCACGTTTAAGGCGTGGCCTAGACTCATTTGCATGATCATACTGTCCAGCTGGGACATCAACTCGAATTGGAGCATTTACAGTTGGAATATGCAATTTAGTAACCAGTGGAAGGTTAGTAAATGCATTTGACAATTGATTTACAACATTTTGCATATAAATGATCTTTTGAACTTCTTGTTCACATTGATTTGTACGAGGATCCAAATGAGATAGAGATAATACGTTCCAATCTATCTCTTTTTCCACCTGTTTCTTTTCTCCCCCTAATGTTGGAAAAACTGATTCATCAAAATGACAATCAACAAATCTGGTTGTAAACAAATCTCTTGTCATAGGTTCCAGATATTTAATAATAGAAGGAGATTCATAACCAATATATACTCCCAACCTTCTTTGGGGACCCATATTTTGCGTTATGGTAGAGCAATTTGAACATATACCGCACATCCAAAAATTCTTAGATGGAAAATATTTGGCTCCTGACCAAAAGCCAACTGTAATGGGGAGACTTTATGATAACTAGTTGTCCTTATGCGCACAAGTGCTGCTGCATGCAAAATAGCATGTTCCCACAATGAAAGGAGAAGTTTTGTCCTTATTAGCAATGATCTAGCTATTAGTTGGAGGCGTTTAATCAATGATTCTACTAGACCATTTTGAGTATGAGCATGAGCAACCAGATGCTCAACTTTTATTCCTATGGCCATACAATAATCAGTAAAGGCCTGAGATGTAAATTCACCAACATTATCAAGACGAATTGTCTTAATTGCATAATTTGAAAATTGTGCTCTTAACCTTATTATTTGGGCCAACAATCTCGCAAATGCCATATTACGAGTTGACAATAAGCACACATGTGGCCATCTTGTAGATGCATCTATTGTGAGCATGTGATTTTTGCCCTATATGAATCACTCCTATAAAATCCAAGAAAATAAATGTTTTTCCAATTATTTGCCATTTTGTAGGATTTTTGTAAGATTTTATTAATTGTTTGCATTTTTGTGCACGTTTAATTTTTATTAAAATCATGAAAAAAATACCAAAATATCTTGCATTGCATTTGGATTTTGTTTTATACTTTTTAGGATTAATTAGTTAATCAATTGTTGTATTAAAAATGAAAATCGCAAAATAGCTCATTTTACATTTTTTTTACCTTTTAGTTTTTAGATTATTGATTTTTTTCTTTTAATTTAGGATCAAGTAATTTTTATAATTTTTATAACTAGATAATTAGTTTAATTTTACAATTTAGATTAATTTAGGATTTTAATTTAAGATTTTTGATTTAAAAAAAGAAAATAAAAAGAAATTGAGGAAAGGGGTTTCTAAATCTAAAATTGGGTTAATGTTACACCAAATCGGCCCAATTTTCCCCAAAAATTCACCTAGATCCAGGCCCAAAATCCCTTACCCGGTCCGCCCCTTTTATACCCAGAACGGCGCCGTATAAGTCTTGTTTTTATCCCAGCCGTTGATCACTTTGGATCTAACGACTGGGAACTAACCAGCCCTTTTCTATATCAGTGTCTGAAATCCTTTCCCCCCATTTCGAAACCCCCCCTCAGTCTAGCGAAAGCCCGAACAAAGTTGGCTAGAAATGCAGAAGAATGGATAACCTTCGTTCGACAGCTGAAGGAAAGATATGACAGAAGGATCATGGGTTGGAAAAAAGAGCTTAATAGCCTTGAGGTTGAAATGACTAAACAAGCCAAGAGCTTTAAAGTCGAGAGATAACATTGCTACGCTTTGATGGCACAATTAGAGGAAGACCTACAGCATTTGCAAGAGTAGAATCATATGACCACCCGGGTTTTGGAGGCCAGATCTCAGCAAATTGGGTGGTTGTTGCAAGAAAAGGGCATCATCAGGGAAAGGGTTAGAAGAATCGCCGACTACATTGTGACGAAGTGCAACGAGTGTGAGGACATGACCAGGTCCATGTTCTTCACCACAATAATGATCTTTGTTCGCTAGATAATGGATGACCTCTATCGCCTCCAGGATGACATGGCACGTATTCCTGCGGCAAGACCAGTTGGTGTCCCTAGGGCAGGATTGGAGGCACTTATGTACTCCTAATTGTTTTCCTTTCTCTTTTCAAGTCTGTATTTTCATTCCTAGAGTCTGTTTTGAGTATGTGTTAGTTTTTTGAGTTTTAAGTATGGATGATCGAGTCTTTGTAATAGAAGTTTTTGTTTTAATGAAAATTTGAAAAAACCAAAAAATTGTTTATCTTGCATTTATCCTTTGAACTATGTGATGATCTAATTCACGCGGCGTCGTGATATGTAGGCAATCCCCATCAGATCCGGTCATGGTTTTAAATAGCTCAAATAAAAGAGAAAATGACGAAAAACGAAAACCAAAAGGAAAAAGAGAAAAGAGAGAAAACAAGAAAAGAGAACAAAAACAAGAGAGAAAACAGTGAGAGAGTGCAGAAGAGAACAAGAGAAAGATCGGGGAGATAAACAAAGGCAGGGATGAGACACGCAATCGTTGCAAAACATGTAGAAACACATCTAACTGTATAGGTGCATCACACCCCCAATGTGTGATTCCCTATGTGTTAATTGCTTCGAACTAACCGGTTTGTTGTGTCTATTGTTGAGATATATGTTCTGTTTTTAAGGTGGTTGGTTTGTGGTAACCTGGATTCGCACCCTTACTTTACAAGATCCAAGGGAAGTGTCGAAATGTCGTCAGATAGTTATCTACCAACAATTCCCATCCCAGATGATAGCCCGTTATCGGCTATCCCAACATCAGAGTCAGCGGCTGCTGATAAGAATAGGGCACTGCGCCTCCGCATATTGGAAATGTGGGACGCCTGGTCCATCGGTAGAGAGCCGCCTAGTGCAATACTTGGTTTCCCTGAGCTACTTCCCAGAACAAGTGGAACTTCCAACCTCCTAATAAATTACCCGAACACCCCATTCGGATATCCCACCATCTCAGCCCATTTCGCCAGAACGCCTTCTGAGGTTCGCCCCTAGGCATTGATTTCGGGAGTGGCTTCTAACATATTCACTGCACCACCAGCTTTGGCTACGGCACAACCAACTTTGCCCAGGCCAAGTTTTGATCCATCTTCCTTAACTTTCCAAGTACCATCTTTTCCACCAGACACTGCCCATTTCACCACTAATTCTTACCCCCAACAACCCTGGTATGAGTTTATCGCGGGGCAAGATAAAGCTACAAAGAATCCCGAGCAAGAGGAAATCACTCGGAAAATGAGAAGCATGGAATAGAGCCTCAAGAATATCCAAGGTTTAAGTGGCCAGAAGAGCGTATCCTACGCTGACTTATGTATGTTCCCGCATGTTCATTTTCCCATCGGTTTCAAGACTCCCAAGTTCGAAAAGTATGATGGACACGGGGACCCCATAGCCCACCTCAAGAGGTATTGCAATCAACTAAGAGGGGCAGGCGGAAAAGAAGAGCTCCTAATGGCTTATTTCGGAGAGAGTCTAGTTGGCATTGTATCCGAGTGGTATATGGATCAAGGCATGTCTCGCTGGAACATATGGGATGATTTGGCTAGAGATTTTGGCAGGCAATTCCAGTACAACATAGATATAGCTCCAGATAAAAATTCTCTGTCTAATCTCAAAAAGAAGTCTTCGAAGAGTTTCCGAGAATATGCTGTTAAGTGGCTCGAACAAGTGGCCAGGGTGAAGCCCCCAATGGATGAGACCGAGATGGTTAGTATTTTTCTACAAGCCCAAGAGGCTGACTATTTCTAGAATATGTGTCTGCAATGGGAAAGCCGTTTGCTGAGGCTATCAAAATTAGGGAGATGGTCGAAAATGGTTTGAAGACAGGTCGCATATTGAGCCAGTTTGCTATAAGAGCTACGTCCCAAGCAATCCTGAGCAGGTCAGAAGGTGTAGCAAATAGAAAAAAGATAGAAAAAGTGGTGATAATGGCTTCAAGTCTGAGAAACCCCCGTCAACCCCGAGGTTACTTCTCCCCAAACACCCTGCAACATTATTATCATCACCAGGATGTGGCTTATGCCATGACTCCTCAGCCTTATGCGGTGATGAATGCCCAACCATACGCTCATCCACAACAACAGTTTAACAAAAACGAGCTCCACTTCCTTGAAATAACCCTCCTCACGAATCTCCATATAATCCTCGTCTCCCACAAAATAATTTTCCATACAATGCCCGTGCCCGGGAGCCACCCAGAAGAACCAACTTCACGCCTATTGGTGAATCATACTCTAGCCTTTTCCCTAAAATGGTCCAAATGGGTTTGTTGCAACCCGTACCCCAAACCAGGAAAAACCCAGAGTCTCCCTCCTACCAACATGGTGCTCGATGTGCTTATCATTTAGGAGCGGAAGGGAATGACACTGAAGACTGTTGGACTCTTAAAAGGGCAGTCGAAAGTCTAATAGAGAAAAAACGGATAGTGCTAAAAGATGAAGAGATCCCTAATGTGACCAATAACCCATTGTCGGCTCACAATAACAGGCTAGTTATTGGGATGATTTGTGAAGATAAAGAATTTGACCCAGCTCTAAAAGCCGTCATTGCCATCGCCGATGTTGAAAAGAAGCCAAGGGCGGCTGCAAAGAAAGACAAGGGGGAGAAGAAGAGTAACTCCGCCCCTCAAAGTGTAGAAAAGACGGTGGAAACCAAAACAGGGGCAATACCCCCTAAAGACGCCATTCTTTATGTTCCCCGGGCTCACAGGAAAGAACAATTGTGTGTACGGTGAAATTGGAAGACCAATTTCTCATTTAGCAAATTGCTTCAGGAGGTCGCTTCGGAGGCTCGAGACCTCGAGCTGGTTAATTCCCTCAATATTGTCGATACCCAGCCAAGGATTTCATCAACCGAAACCCCACAAATACGAGAAACCTCCGAAGAGTGCAACCAGAGTCGATCAAGTCTACCTAGGCAGCCTAACATTAGCCTATGTATACGTCATAAAGCTAGCTATCTGTCCTATCCCATCTCCTTTATCACTCAACGTATTTTGTACTAAGTTGAGACTCCCCCCTCTTATAAAAGGGGAGTCGCTAACACTCTATAAAGAGAGCTCCAACTATTCTCCACAAGATCAATAATATCTCTCTCTCTTTCTCCTCTCTAACTTACTCGCTCGAGACCACTCTTTGCATTTATTGCTTTCATAATTGTTCTTCATTTATTGCTTGGTATTGGCCATAAAGATCCTTCTTTAATTATATTCTAACTGTTATCCCTCTCCCGATTACTCTAGATAGCTCGAGCTTGACCCGGATATCGACCCCGAGGCCCTCGTCGACCAGTCGGAAGCCCGGGCAACAAGCCCCTCGGTTTGATCACTGCCTCGTTTTTAGCTTTTGTTTCATCGTTAAACTTCACATTCTTAGCATCAACCGCTCTAACAACTAGCATAAAAATAGATCACGTATTTTTAGAATCCCATTTATAAATTTAATTGTTGTTACCATTTTCACGGTAAACAGTTTGGCGCCCACCGTGGGGCTAAAAATAATAGTGATTATTTTCTTGCTAGTTTCATTGCACAAACGCAAGTTATCTTTCACACTTTTTCTTGTCGAAGATCTCTTGATTTCAGGTCAAAATGTCTGGCTCGGTAAACAGAGTCGAGAACGACAACCTCGAAAACCATGGGGAAAACGGCGTGGCCGTTCTGTTTGTCGGCGTGCCACTATAGAATCCTGATAATGCGCCCGAGCCTATTTTAGCGGACGCGGATTCACAGGACGCACAACAGGTCGGCAAAACCTCGCACACCGACAGGAGCATACGACATGGCGACCAATAGGAAGCCCAAGACCCCCAGCCTGGGAAGAACATGA